AGCCATGCTGTGGCAGTGGCTCACATAGAACAACTAGAAGGATTTACAACTAGAATATACAACTATATACTGGGGCTTTGGGGAGGGGAAAAAAGAAAAAAGAGGAAGATTGGCAACAGATTTTAGCTCAGGGTGAATCTTTCCCAGCAAAAAAAAGAAGGAAAAAAAAAACATTTAAAAAACAAGAAAGAATGGAAAAGAGGCAATATTTAAATAAATAATCACTGATTTTTTTTTTTAAAACTTGAAGAAAGTCAACAGTTTTCATGTTGAAAAAGTATATCAAGTGAGGGACAAAATTAAAAAAAAACACTCCCAGAAATATTCCAGAGAAACTGCTGAAAATCAAAGATAAAAAGAAAAATATTAAAGCTATTAGAAAAGACCAGACTACATATAATGGAGTAAAAATCAGACTTATAACAGATTGCTCACAATTAACAATAAATACCAGATGATAATGATATTATAGCTTCAAACTGCTAAGGAAAAAATAAGATATATATATGTATAATATACATATATATGAATGATATATCTATCATGTATATGATAAATAAGAAAATAAGATATATATATGATATAGTATCATTCAATAGTGAAGAAAAAATAAAGACATTTTAAATATCTGTAGAACAAGAGTTTCCCATCCGTACATACTCGCTGAAAGAACTATTAAAGGACAGACTGCAACAAAAAGAAAAAGCCAGAAGAAAGGAATGGGATACAAGAAGCAACAGAGAGCAAAGTAATTGGCAAAGCATATAGGTAAATGTAAGTAATAACTAAAATAAATAAAATAACATTTTATGTGTTAAAAACAACACTAATAACTAAAATTCAAAATAATATGGAAGATGCTTAGAGGGAAGTTAAAGCATATTAAAGTCCTTTTTTAAAAATTTTGTTTTACATAATTGTTGTTCATTGTCAAATTGATGAAAGATGCCTCAAGGCCCTCCATCCCTTTCTGTTCCTGTCAATACTTGAATCCTGTAAACTGGAGGAGGGAGGGTTTAGACAGGTGGCTTATTGGGCGCTGTCTAGATCAGTGGCTTTCAAACTTTTTAAGCTGCAACTCAAACTAAGACATGTTGATGTTGATATTGCAACCCAGTGTATGTACCTAAAACAGAAGACAAAGTTCCACAAAGTAATAACCTTTACATGAGTGATCACTATGATATTTTACATTCTGTTCTGCATTTTGGTATTATTTAATAACATTTTTAATTGATTTCATGATCCACATGGTCCAAAAGCTTGAAAAACACTGGTAAGAGTGTTTCCTGAGAAGTGCTAAATGTTTACCTCTCTTGCTTTAAAAATATAGGATACTAAGTTTAAAATAAGGTCAAAATAAGAAGTTAAACAAAAGAAAGATATGATAGAGATTGGTCACTTAGTATAAAGACCTTTGAGATCTTCTCAGTTAAGAATATTTTATTTGATGAATGTTCACTATTATTACTAGCATCATCCTTTCTGTCACCCAGAGTAGAAAGCTCAGATTCATCTTCATAACCGTCTCTCTCATGAATCACTCATCAAGTTCCGTGAATTCTCTCCTCACAATGTGTCTTATATCTTTGTTCTCCTTTTCTTTTTTATTTTTTTAAATTGAGATATAATTGACATATAACATTGTATTAGTTTCAGGTGTACAACATAATGATTTAATATATATATTGTGAAATGATCCAAGTTCTTGCTTTCTTTCAGTAGAGGACAGAAATCCTGAAAAACTTTAGACTTTGTTAGAAAAAGAAGAGAGTATAGATGTCTATTTTAAGTATAACTACTAATAGAATATAAACATAACTTTTAAGTATAACTACTAATAGAATATAAACATAACTTCCAAATTGATGGAGGAATAAGTAAAACTCAGTGTAACAGAAGGAAAAGAGAATAAAAAACACAAGGAAAAGAAGGTTCAATAGAAAACACAAAATAAATGGTAGAAATAAGTCCAAATATTGCACATTACGATAATTATAAGTGTATAAAATTTACCTGTAAATAAAAAGACAGTGACTCTGAAATTGGATTTTAAAAATCCAGCTACATGATATTTAAAGAAACACATCAAAAATGGAATGACACCCAAATGTTGAAAATAAAAGGATGAGTAGGGGCCGGCCCAGTGGCACAAGCGGTTAAGTGCATGCGCTCCGCTGCGGCGGCCCGGGGTGTGCAGGTTCTGATCCCAGGCGTATGCTGACACACCACTTGACAAGCCATGCTGTGGCAG